TAAGGAAAGCAGACAAGAAGGCTCCTATTCAGGTCAGGGCTCCCAAGAGAGGACGACGCAGCAAGAAGGGACCCATAGACGGGAAAGTGGGATTAGAGCAGCGCACCCTGTTGGTCGAAGTTATGATCAAAAATGCCGACCGCATTTATCTGAAAAAATGCGCAAAAATGCCGCCGTTCGATCTGAAGAGTGTTACTGCAGTCAATGCTGGTGTGTACTATAGCTTACTATAAGGGTCATCCGAGCTTGCCGGCAATATTAGTGTGTACTATAACTTAATAATGTCACTTGCTCGATGCATGGTCACTAGCTCACTGCGAAACACGTTCCGAACCAGTTTGTTCGCAGTAATTAACTATGCTCCATTGCTCTCAAAGAATCGCAAACGTCTGAATGATTGGTATTGGTGGACTCGTGTATTTCTTTCTGGAGTTCTCCTAAGAAATAATTGGCATTAACTTTCTGTACTTGTTAGGAGATATGACTATTTACGACTTGGAACAAGCGGATGACATTGGCAGCGGATGATCCTATAACATGCAGACATACAGAAAGGAAGGGTTAACAGCATTACCCTCCCTCTTTTCCCTTTCTCTCCTCTCCTCTCCTTCTCTGCTTCTCTCATTTCATCTCCTCTTCTCTCTTACCTCACTCCACTTCTCTCTCAATCTTTCCTCTTCTGTCCTTCTTTGGCTCTCTACCTTCTTTCTCTCATCCTATACATTCATGGTTTCCCCGCTCTCTAACATGGCGCAACCTATATTGGCGATTCGTAAACAACTAGTTTCGATTTTATTGTGCATGCACGTCGATGAATGGCAGGAATATCACATGACTGTGACATGAATAATAGTAGAACAAACTCGTTTTTGTTTTTTCACAGACGTCATGCGATGTGCGTGACGAGGAAATGCGCACGCGGCACAATATAGCTGGTGCCTAGCCAGCGCCGAGCAGCAGGCAAGCTGGCCGTGGAGATTGAAGACAAGAAAAGAAGCCAAACAAATAACCAAGCTGAGACAGTTTCAGAACTTCTTCGCAATATATACCACCCCCTGTAATTTAGAAACAAACATTTTGAAAGCAAACATTTCATTCTAATTAAACAAATTAAAGCAGCTTAATTGCTTTCACTTCATCAGTTATGAATCAAGATTCATAAAAAAATGATATATATATATATTTATGAATAGTGTAGCCCGCCCGGCCCCCGTTATAATGCGATGGTTGGGGTCCATAAAAATGTCATCGCGAAAAAAGCGGGGTCGCGATAAATCGGGATTATATATACGTACGAGCAAAAAAGGGGGTCCAACGCGTTATATCCGAATTCGCGTTAAATCGAGGCGCGTAAGATCGGGGTTCCACTGTATAGGCCTATACATGCATCATGACTAAAGGTAAATAAAATTGATCTTGTAGTGTCATATGATTATGAAACGCGTAGCCAAAAAATGTGATATCAAAATGTGTAAAGCCTAGATCAATATATTATTTGACGGAGTTTATGTAATTATGCTGATAATGATTTCATGTAATAAATAATGCCTTCATTGACTAATATTGGTCTGTTGGCATTTAGTTCTAGGAAGTTTGACCTATATCAGTTTCATTTCACATAATTATGGCGGGGGGCAGGGGGGGGCCGCCGCCCCTCCAATCCAAAAAGTGGGGGAGCAAAACCAAAAAGCCCCCCCCCCCAAAAAAAGGGGGAAAAAATAAACATTCAAAAACTAATTTATACATCCATTTTTAAGTTTTCGCTGCGCGCTTTACGTGATTGACGCTCACGTCGCAACACACGCTCTTATGCACACACGTCACACACATGCCGCTTCACGCACACACGCGTCGCACAGGGTTGGGGCCCCCACGCCGCCCCCCCCTCACCCCCCCCCCCCCCCCCCCCCCCCCCCCCCCTTCATGCACACACGTCACACACATGCGCTCACGCACAACCACGCCGCACACAACGGTCGAGTGCACACACGCCGCACATACGCGCGCACGCACACAGCGTCGCACACACGCGCTCCACGCACAACACGTCGGCAGCACACGCGCTCACCACACACGCCGGCACACACGCGCTCATTGCACACCGCCGCACATACGCTCACGCAGCCACGTCCCACAACGCTGCTCACGCACACACGCCGCACATACGCGGCTCACTGCACACAGTGCCGTCGCGCACCATCGTCGCTCACCATACACGTCACCACACGGCGCTACCGTCACGCACACACGCCGCACATTACAGCGCTACACGCACACACGTCGCGCACACCGCTACTTCACGCACACACGGTCTCACATACGCGCTCACGCACACACGTCGCACACACGCACTCACGCACACACGCGCTCACGCACACACGGTCACACACACAACGCATCACGGCACACACGCCACACACATCGCCACAGCACGCGCTCACAGCACCACACGTCGCACCCAGCACGCGCTCAGTGGGTGCACACACGACGCACATTACGCGCTCCACGCACACACGTCGCCACACACGCGCTCATGCACAGCACGTCGCAGCATTACGCGCCTCCATGCACACACGTCGCACATAGCGCGCTCACTGCACACCGTCGCACACCACGCGCTCACGCACACACGTCGCACACACGCGCTCACGCACACACGTCGCAAACGCGCTTACGCACACACACCGCACACAACGCACACACGTCGCAGCACACGTCGCTCATGACACACGTCGCACCTACCGGCTCACGATCACACACGTCACACAACACGCGCTCACGCACATTAACGCGCTCACGACACACAACGTTCGCACACACAAGCACACACGCGCTGCACGCCACACACGCCACACACACGCGCTCACGCACACACGTCGCACACACGCGTCTCACGCACAAAACGTCACACACACGCACTCACGCACACACACGCGCTCACGCACACCACGTCACACACACGCGCTCACGGCACACACGTCGCACACACGCGCTGCCAGGCGACACACACTCACGCGCTCACGCACACATGTCGCACACACGCGCTCACGCACACACGTCGAATACACGCGCTCACGCACACACGCGCTCACGCACACACATCACACACACTCGCTCAGCACATATGCGCTCACGCACACACGCGCTTACGCACACACGCGCTCACGCACACACGTCGCACACACGCGTTTACGCACACACGCGCTCACGCACACACGCGCTTACGCACACACGCGCTCAAGCACACGTCGCGCACACGCACACACGTCGCGCACACGCGCTCACGCACACACGAGAAAAAAAATCGTGAGCCCCCTTAGGTCTTTGCCCCCCATCCCCCAATCCAAAACTGCTTTCGGCGCGCCTGCACACGCGCCCACATCTGATCTGCATGTACTATTTTCAAAGGATCTCTTTAATTTTAGCTTCTTCGTTTCTGTCATTCGATCCATATTGGATCCTCTTTCGTCTATTCTTTCGTGTAAAATTGAAGCTTTTTATACTGAAAGCCGCAGTGTCGATCTATCTATTTGATAAACTTTGTCTCTCTTAGTCTTCGATATAGTCCATTAAACTTTAAAGGGTAATCACATGAGTTTAACTTTATGAAGCATTGAAGGGAAAGAAGGCAAGTTCGCGCCATGACGTCACACATGACATCAGGCGGATTCATCCGAGCTTTGCCGAATGCCTTGTTTAGCTCCCCGCGTTGTTTACATATGGCTGCCGTGCGCGACATGCTCTTGAAATGATGTATCGCAAGTGAAGTTGTTTTCCTCTCGATATATCGCTATTATTCGTCACCAGTTATGGTTGATGGTATAGGATCCGTAACGTGGTGGGGATTTAGCCCTGCTATAAATTTAATACCGCGTGAACTTGAAGGTAATCAGTAATTACTACTTGCGTGCGACGCGCGTACATTACTCATTTAGTGATTTACTGTGTGTCAAGCACTGGCACTGCCACTTCAACTTCAAGTTGGCTGCCGTTTCAAGAATAAAATGATAACAACTAAACACGAATGGTATTTACTACCAAAGCCTATTCTGTTTCACCTATTAATTGTAATACTAATAGTTTCACGGCGCACGCGTACTGGTACCGCGTACTGGTACCGCGTACTGGTACGCGTACCGCAGAAACTGAGAAAGATTTAAAGAGATTTTATTAGATACTATACTCTCTATAGTCCACAAACTCTTCCGTGGGTTTGTGCTGTAGCTAGCGCTGAGAGGGTCTATGTCTCCCAGGGTACAGCCGGAACGTACCCTGGTAGTATCTAATATGCCGGACCGTACCTCGCCTACTCCACTAACGACCGTCTAGGGAGTCGCCTACGCCTACTCCCTAACCCTAACCCTATAACCATATCAGATAGTTATCAGGGTATGTTCCGGTATACCGGACCGTACCGTACCTAGGGTACGTTCCGGCAGTACCCTGGGGGACATAGACCCTATGAGCATAGCTAGCTCTAGTACTATACTAGCCCGCGTACAGTTGCCGCAGGCGACAAAGCAACTGCACTCGGGCTCCATTACTAGAGCTATGCTGTAGCGTGCACGTGGTTACATTGTGTTGCAGAGGAGCATTGGAAATGCATTTACTTGAAATCATTAGCCTGATTAGGCAATAGCTTGAATAGGGAGTACACAAACAGACTTGGGTAGTAAATACATTTTTGGTGTTTATTAGTTATTACAATGTCTCATTGAAACGGCTCAAGTGCCTGTGCCGTGGTTAGGAGTTATAGCATCATTTTTCTGGAGTAACTCTAGAGTCTAGACTAGTCTCTAGTTAGTACTTATGCATGGAACCCTTGTTGGCTGTGCCACACAGTCACATGCTGGTGTGGCAGATCCAACAAGGGATGGAGTATTAGAGCTATATATTAATAGCCTAATTAGGAGTTATGTAATATCTCTACAGTGATGGTGGTGCATGGTGATTATGATGATAATGTATGATTTATATACTGTGACAGTGTGACTGCAAGCGTGCATCGCAAAAGGGGTGGACACACTAGGCGATTTTTCATGTGGTCGAGCCGCCCTGCTGAAATCGCCTAGTGTGTCCAGTGAGTCGCGGTCAATTTTCGAGTCGGCCGGCTGAGTTGCCCGAATCAAACATGTTTGATAAAATCGGGCGATTATTTGAGTCACGCGACTATATACAATGCCCACCCGAACAATGCAATACTATACAATGTGACTATACAATGCTCTACTATGCGCGCCCAAATATACAATTCATCAGCCAATCAAACCGTGCCATTTTCAATCATGTGACTATCATCATCATTCAGCCGGGCGGCTCAATCACATGAAAAATCGGCTAGTGTGTCCACAGCTGTAGTCGCCCGACTCAGCCGCCCGACTCAGCCGGGTGGCTCAATCGCATGAAAAATCGGCTAGTGTGTCCACAGCTAATGGCCCAGTCACACATACGCAACTCACGGCCCGCGCATTGAAAATTAATCACAAAATGGAAAATAAGATCAGTGCGTCGTTGTGCGCCCAACTTTTGTCAGGATTTGGGAGAAGCTAGCGAGTTGACAACGAATGCACAACGTGTTGCTAGCACACGGAACGAATGGTCCGCACATGCACCGCGCATTCAACGCACAGCCAGCGAACGGTCAGGTCAACGAACAGGTCAGGGATATGGTGTTGTGAGGCACCCTCAACCCATATAGGACATTGAGTGATACTTGGTCCCTGAGGCAAGATGCCGCAGAGTGAGGGCAAGCTTCAGGCCAGAGTCGAGGGCCTCTCTGTAGGTTGTATTCTGCTTGGTGATCCTCGGACCCATTCTGGTTAGCAGCTCGTCGAACATCTCGGGGGCATCCGCATGAAGTTCTTGAAGGCTGACTGGTCTTCGTTACGGAGTTCAACAAGTAGCTGGTCATACATGCCAAACTGTCGTCGCCTACCGATCCGCGGTCGGACCCAGAACCTCCGTTGACCTCTTCTCTTTCTCCTTCTCCTGATGACATGGACTTGGTGAAGTTCCAGTTCCATGAGGTTCTGCTGATGTTGGAGAACCGCGATTTCGTATTGTAGTCGTAGCCTGTCGGGATCCTCCACCTTCTGAGGTGGTTCTTCTAGACACGATTAGCAGGAACCTCTGTCATCACCCATGAGGGTCGGAGAAGTGATGATGAGAAGGTGGGGGCAGGACCCGTTTATATACCCCATGGCTACACGCTGCGTACATGCTAGCAACACGCTAGAAGAACGCTGGGCGCGCTACACTCGTTCAGCACTCGTTCAGCACGCCCATATTTGCTGCATGTTCGCTGGACATGCGTTAGAAGCACACTAGGTGTGCGCTAGGTGTTCGCTACACCTCAGCCGACGAACATACAACGAATACCCAGCGTGTGCTCCGCCTGTGTCTGGCGTTGGTCCAGCACGCTCTGCGCGTGTCTGGCGTCCTTCTGGCGTGTACATTCATGCGTCGAGCTCCGCGCACATTTTTGTGCATGCACAAAAATCCTCACGCACGCAGCGAATGACAACGAATGCATAGCGTTGGTCCAGCACGCTCGACGAACGAATAACGAATGCTGACGCACACCCAGCGAAAGACAACGCACTGGCCAAAATTGCTAATTTTTCAGTGCGCTGGCCGTGCGTCGTGTATGTGTGACCGGGCCATAAAGGCAAAGCAAGACTGCATTGTGTTGCATATTATGTTTTCTGCTGTGTGTGCTGCTGTTACACGTTTGGTTTTGTCCCCCAGAGCAAAATGAGTTAGATATATATGCCCCTGGATGTAATATGTAATATTCAATTACAAGTAAGAATTTAAATTCTCTAGTTTCAGAGCTTAATGTGTTGCTGGTTGGATCAGGAGATAGCAGGCATATCATTAAAACCATGGCTGAAGCTTGGAGGTTTCCTTCAGTGAAAGTTAATGTACGGTTTCAATAATCAATAATACGTCCTGGTGTCTTTGGTAAATGTTAAATACTCTGCGATACTCTATTGTAAATATGTTATATAATAATCATACATATATATATACATACATATATAAATTATATATATATATATATATATATATATATAAGATATAAATAATTTCTATCTGATTACCCTGGAAGCTCTAGAAAATCAATAAATATCAATAAATAAGTAACACGTGCACAACATGTTTTTTCTTAGATTTATGTGATAGAGCACAGTCTTCAGGTCTTGGCAAGACACATGCTATTTCTGTCTCTTGCATTAGAACCAGCACAACACATAGGATTATCAGGTATGTAGTATCTTTTCCCACTGATCGATTACTGTGACAATTAGCTCCAATGTGGGATGATAGTCTTGTGTGTTCTATTGTACACTTAGATACTTGAAAAATTGCAGGTGCTTATTTAACACTGTCATAGCGTAATCTATATAACCGGCATACTAATTCGAATTTTGTGCTGTGATAGGATGAAGTGATTTTGTATTTCAGAGAAGACTTCACTGTACCTCGAGATATTTGGAAACAGTTTAATAAGGAGCAGTACAAAAAGCTACATTGACACCAAGGCTAGTGATTTTATCAGGTATAATGTAACGTACTAGTGTACAACAATTAGTCATGCTTTTCTGCAAACTTGTTATATGGAAGCTCATTTATCGCATATTTCACATGTTTATATAGTACCATGTTTTTAATAATCTATATTTATATTTTTGTGCATTCTTCAGATAATCGTTCAATTTTGTTTGGCGTAAAAATATTTCTATCCACTATTGTTTAAAGCAAATAGTGCTATATTAATATTATTACTTAAATGTTGAATTTGTTGTATTTAAGGATGGTTTCTGATGTAGATATTGCAGAAGACATGCTGCCTATACTAGACATGAATTTTCTAAAGGTGAGCTATTTAAAGGCTTTATTTCGAAGTCATTACTCAAAACGCACAATCTGAAAAAATATAGCAAAATATAGTCTGACCTAATAGCAGATATATTACTGATTACACCAACTAGTAAAACACTAAGAATTTATGCTGTTATAGCATAGAAAAATTGGAATATCACCATGGCATGTTTGATTATAGCAACAATTCATTTGCAAATGATCTTATATTAGTGTACCAACAAGTTACAAGTGCACCCATAGTGCACCTAATTCAAACAGAGGGGAATCTGTTTCTGTGTTGTTTTCTTCATTTCTATTTTTAAATTGGCCAGTATCTCGCGCTATCATGAAATAGTCCAAGATTCGCAAGAAATGGCAGTCGAAAGCAAAACAAGTAATCAAAATTCGAATCATGCATGCATGTTTTGGTGAATATAGCTCAGTACGAAGGTTCTAATACATATGTTAGCGTCAGGGAATAAAATACACGGGAGCGACGAGCGATTTCGCTCCCGTGGCCTGATAAATTGAAATGTACACAAGTAGGCCCTACGTACGTACAGCGAGCGCTACATATACACCAGGAGTTTATGAGATAAAGGTTATCTCATTAACTCCTGATATACACCATGCTGGGTTTACACTGCCGATTATATGCAGTCAAGTTGGCGTTTTTTTTAGCTCATCTGACATAGTCAGATGCAGCTTGTAGAATTGCATGATCGTCCGTCCACCCGTCCGTCCGTCCGTCCGTCCGTCCGTCCGAGCGTACGTCCGTCAACAGTTGGGCACAAATCTTAACCGCTCGACGTACGGTCACGATATTCGGGACGTGGGGGGTAATCCGAAAACGAGTTCGGATGTCGAAGCTGGGGGTCAAAGGTCAAAGGTCAAGAGTTGTAAAAGAAGGGGGAGCATTCACTCCTTAACTTAAGGTATAGGGAGGAAATGCAGAATTGCGGCACAACTCTAAACGGCTCGACCTAGGCTCGTGATAGTCGGTGTATAGCATCATGTTAGGAAAAGCCATCACTATGCCGAAATTGGAGGTCACCGGTCAAAGGTCAATGGGCACAGGGCAGATTTTAGACATTTCTGTAGGACATGGTGTTGTGACGGAGCGATTGAAAAACTTTTTTGTTTCAGCGGTAACCTAGGCATTTTTTATGGCATTATTGAAAGGACCATGAAATCTACTTTCTGCTGACATGCGAAGAGTAAGTGTCAGATAACTTTTGACCTCAAGAGTAGGGTTAAACATGGATTTGTTGACTGTCTGTTAGAAAGAATTTGACTGCGGTTTGCTAGTAGAATCTATACATGCCTGGATGTATGAGGCTACAAATGTTCACAGTGAAATTTCAAAAGCTAATTTTTGGTTAAAGAAGGTTTATGCTGCCTTAAATCGTATAATTTCTATGGCATTCTGTACTGTCAGTATGTTACATGTAACGTATGCCACTGCCAGTGGCTACTGGCAGTGCATGTGTTATTGGTACTGTGTATTCTTGCCTGCGTTAATTGTTTACAGGTGGCAGCTGTCTATTGCAGCCTGTAGGCTTGCGTAGGTAAATGGTATGAGTGCTTATCTATTCTGTCTTGCAAATAGTTGTTGCTACTACGTTTGATGGAGCCTTCCATCTTTAATCTGAAGACACTTAAACGTACGCCATCTCGTGCAACTTTCATAACGATACCGAAACGAGGACCCATTGCGAGAAGGTTCCTGATACCATCCCTGTGCATTCCACTGTTTCGGCGTGTATGTGAACACATTTGGGACTAACAGGGTTTACTAGAATCCCACCGCTCCACCACAGAGTCACCGCAGTAGACGTTAGATGAGCGCTGTCGCTCCGCGGCACTTGTCTTTTTTGACCCGTAGCGCGCACGGGGCGACGCGAATACGCATTTTTGCATGTATTACATGCTGCCAGCGTGGCGCCAAAATCAAAAACGTGTTCTCCCCTAGGGTGGAGGGACACACCCCTGATTGCTGTTGTCTGATTGGCCACTTGCCAAAAAAACGTCCAACCCGCCTGCTCCGACTCCCGAGTTACATGTTCTAATCATCCTACTCACTGCTATCGATCGGCTGGACGTGCGACTTTTGCGTTTACACTCAGTGGCGATTGTGAGTTGCCAAACTGCCAAGTTCGTACAATTTGGCAACTCAAAATCGTCAGTGTAAACCCAGCTTATGTATCCGCTGCAGCTGGCGCTGGCTAGATCAACCCGCTGACGCATAATAAAATACAATTGATAATAAAAGTTATACAACAGAGTGTAGAACTAGAAACTGTTGACACTTTTATTCATATTTAAATTTAACTTGACAATAATACCAGCTGAATCCAGCTCTTGCCTTGTATTAATCTGCAATATGATGTGGTGACAATTGCATTCATACATTGTCTGTTGAAACTATGAATGATAGTCAATGATAAATTATATGCTGACAGATGTGATGTGATGTCACAGACTCACAGGCACACATCTCTGTGAGACTGTGACAAATTAACCGTGTACTTTCTTATTTTGAGACTGAAAAAAGAAACAAACAACTGCACAGTGGTATTTTTATATAATAAAACATTTATCTGCATCCAAACGAAAAGATAACGTGGTTCATACCGTATGTTATTACAGACATTGATGTCCCCATCCCCACAAATAAAATAAGAGTACATTATATATATTGATTATATTACGTATTTTCGAAAATTTGAAACTATGAAAATGGCTCTGGATACATAAAAAATGGCTCTGGAGCTTCAAAAAATGGCTCTGGTAAATTTTTGACAAGTCAGAAAAATGGCTCTGGTGAAAAAAAAAGTATTTTTTACTCTGGTTAGCGTTACTCTAGACAGTTGCTGTTACTCAAGCAATACCTGTAAGTATCATAAAGGCTAAGTATCGGTAAGTAATCCTGGCTTTAATGTATATGAAAATATATGCTAATAGGCAAGATTTGTTTGTTTTCAAGCAAAACCCATCCGATTAACCACTAACTGTTTTTGCCAAACATCAATATTTTAGTTTAAAGAACGAGATGGATTAGAGGCAGTATTCAAATTCTGGAAAGTCCCACATGACACATTTGGAATTCAAGAGATGTGGTAATTTTGTACTGATCCGAATCATTTTTATTTATATACGTAGGCATAAAAACGTGTTTAGTGATCTTTGAGAATATATTCATATGTTAGTGGTTAGACAATAGGTAGCAGAAATATATCTGCTGGCTATAAATCGTCCTTTTTCAAAGTAGGTTTAAATATGTGCATTCTGATATTACACTGTATTATAATATAATATTGCAGGGATAACAGAGTAAGGCACTATCTAGGACAAAGATATGATTCAAGGCAAAATGCATATGACTGGGATTACTGTATGAAGCTTTGTGAGAGAGGGGTAAGATGAAAATTATATACCATACCTTGGTGTGTCAAAACGTGGCTATGGGAGTATAACTTCTTGTGTCCATTTCATACTCGTTTAAAGCCATATGAAATAGGTGCTTCTTTGCCAGATGTAGATATGCTGTTCTGTCTTAGCCCTGACTTTGATACTGATTGAATTGTAATTATTGATCCTTCTTCATAATATAACAGGCAAAGATTATTGGTAAGCCTATTTATAAGCAATGGAGAGAGACAGGATTAGCATTTGAGGTGAGAGAAGGCGACTACACAGTACCAAACAAAACATTGACCTCTTGTGCTCAAGCTAGAAAGGTGACACTACAAATTTCCAATAGATGATAATACGTTATTTCTAATTTATATTTATATTGCTAGTTCTAATTTGTGTTTCCTTTGGCCAAAAAGGTCTGTGAGGTGGTAATTTGTTTTTGGGTGTGTTCCACTGCAGGTGCTCGCCCAGCTAGGGGAGTCCTGGGGCATGCCACCCCGGAAAATATTTTGAAAAAATGGTGCAATTTGGTGGATTCTAAGCTATTCTGAACACATTGTATGAGACTTTAGTTCAATAAAGTGTAGTTTATTGATGGAAGAAAAGTGATTTTCGTCAGCGAGGTGGAAACACTGTAATTGATGTGACCAATTGTAACAAATTTTGTAAGTGAGAATTTAAAGGGATACTACACCCTAGAATTTTAGTGTATATTATGATAGTAAGTCCATAAATAATACTACAAATTTCTATAATCATGCATTCACATTTGTCATAAAACAACAGTGAGTTTCGAAATCTTTATTTTTGGTCACTGGCATTATGGCATGACACCCCGTGATTGTGCTGCCACCCTGACAAAGTTTGCCCTTTTGCCGATTTATTTTGCATGTCACAAACTGAGGGCTAATCACAAAAGTGCAATTATATTTATACCTTACTGCCATTTAACCGAATGATATGTATTGTAGGAAGAATTCATCTATATTATAACTGAATCTAAAAATTGTTTATAAGATATAGCAATCTTTCTCTTCTCAAATTAATAAATAAGAAACACCATCAGTCTGTAGCCTGCAGCTGAAAAGTTGCGATGCATAACTTTGAAAGTAGATGGGCTAATAGTGGCGCCACCGTCATTGTAAGCAACGATACAGCTGTTAGTTTAAAACAAGTGCTGCAGAGTGACAGCGCTCAACTGACGTGTACTGTAGCCGGGTATTCTTCTGATAAACTCGCTGGCAACCGAATTAAGTGCGCCCTCCCGCCACCGCGTTCGCGCTCAGAGCATATATCTAGGATACTACTAATACAGATCTAAAATCTATGATAGGCTTTGCTATACCGGTAGTACAGTAATAAAGATACAGCTGTGTAACTTTAATGACTTTGCTATATTAACATGTTATCATGGATATGCGTCGAGCGCGAGCGTAGTGGTGGTGGGGGAGGGTGGGGGAAGGGTGGAGGAAGGGGCGGGTGAAGGGGGCTCTAATAGCAAAAGCAGTTCAGTCCTTTGTTAACAGTCAACAAATCCATGTTTAACCCTCCTCTTGAGGGTCAAAAGGTTATCAGACACTTAATTACTCTTCGCACGTCAGTGGAAAGCACATTTCATGGTCCCTTCAATAAAGCCATAAAAATGGTAGGTCACCGCTGAAACAAAAATGTTTTTCAATTGATCCGTCAGACCATGTCCTCAGAAAATGTCTGAAATCTGCCCTGTGCCACATTGACATTTGACCTGTGACCTCCAATTTCGGCACAGTGATGGCTTTTCCTACCATGGTGCTATACACCGACTATCACGAGCCTAGGTCGAGCCGTTTAGATTTGTGCTGCAATTCTGCATTTCCTCCCTATACCTTAAGTTAAGGATAGAATGTTCCCCTTTCTTTTACACCTCTTGACCTTTGACCCTTGGCCCCCAGCTTCGACATCCCAACTCGTTTTCGGATTACCCCGATTATATCGTGACCGTACGTCGAGCGGTTAAGATTTGTGCCCAACTGTTGACGCACGGCCGGACGGACGGACGCATGAACGCACGCTTATGCGATTCTACAAGCTGCATCTGACTACGCCAGATGAGCTAAAAATGGTAGGTCAGCACTGAAACAAAAAAGTTTTGCACTCTGTCCATTAGCCATGTCCTCAGAAAATGTCTGATATCTGACCTTTCCCCCACTGCCCTTTGACCTGTGACCTCAAATTTGACGCTGGTGATGGGTCCCCCCCCCCTTCCATCACACTATACATCGAATATTAAGAGCGTAGGTCGAGCCGTTGAGATTTGTGCTGCAATTCCGTATTTCCTCCTATACCTTAAGTTAAGGGGGAAATATTCCCCCTCCATTGACACATCTTGACCTTTGACCCTTGACCCCCCAAATTCGACATCCCGAGTCCTTTTTGCGATCTCCCCCCCGACGTCCGGAATATAAAGACCGTACGTCGAGCGGTTAAGATTTGTGCCCAACTGTTGACGGACGGACGCACGGACGGACATTCATGCGATTCTACAAGCTGCATCTGACTTCGTCAGCTGAGCTAAAAACACGTAAAAAACATTTTTAATGGATATCGAACAATGATATTTTTTATGTAGCATAATTTAACCCTATTTTAACTAAAACTATGCAAGGAACCTAAGGTCATGTATCCCCTTAAATTGTATTTTAACAATACAGGGTCCAGACACTGTCCCGCTACTGGGTTACTGGGGTGATATTGTCACTGGACCATTCATCTCACATGGAATTGAATGTGCAAATTCCAGTTTACTAAAGACTGAGAATAAGATGCATGTAAAGGTGAGGTAACACGTGCACGTTGGGCTTGTTTAAACATTTTATATTGTACTATTAATACCCAGCTATAACATTTTTTACTTGAATTGTGACACATTAAATAGTATCAGATCATTTATCCAGCAAATAAACTCATAATTAAGATAGTCTGTCATGTTATCACAACATTAAAAGTAATAAACATAAGTGTTTCTTGTTGTTATCCGACATTTTTTCGTATGGTAACACATCCATTTCCACCTCTAACAGACGGCAAAGGATATTACCTATTACAATGTGATGGCAATGTTCTACGAGCTGCTCTACAAGACAAAGTATGATGAGTGTTGCTTAGAGATTGAAGCAAAACAGGATGAGGACAGTGTTATGACACGGCCCCAGAGGGCGCTAGTTGATAGTTGCTACAGTAGTGGCGATGTCAGTGACTCTGCACCAGTTTCTGAAGGTAACTTGTACCTGCGCAATTACACGTGCTCGCGTGTGCTCGTAGGCACTGAAAAGCTCTTTAAAAACTGCTACAGATTTTACCTGGTCCTTAATAACAAAAATTCATTCAATTATAGGCATAATTAACACAAAAGTTATGACAATGTATCATACACCCATCATGTTGATGCATGTCCAAACTTTCGAGTTGCTTCAACCTACAAATGTTAATAGCCAGTGATATGAATTCGAATGGCATATCAAATACCCAAAAGTTTAGAAAGTTGACGAAATTGCTCATAAATATCTTGATTCTAAATATGTAAAAAATGGCTATATAATGTCAGCGTTATCCATTCTCTTCAGGTCCTATTGTGTGTGAGAATGCCAAGGTTTACTTTCTCCCACTGAATGCTCCATCACAACTATATCTAAAGCAAAGGTTCCAAGAGCACTTTCACGTTGTCTACTTCTCAAACAGGTATTACATAGTAAGCCATTATAATACCCGTTAAGTTTATTATTTACCAGGTTATGTTTCTGTACATATCTGAAGTAGCCTACATAGTGAGAATGGTATGCACTGATGAGCCACATTTTTTATTTCTAATAATCTAAGTGCATCTGCTGTCCATGTAGCAAGTTGGAAGTCTAATAAATTGGAAAATATTTGTCATTATTTTATCCCCCGCGACGAAGTCGGCGGGGATACTATGGTTTCATGTCTCCCCAGCCGTCGCTGCCACTCGGTCCGCCGCAGAGAACTTCCCTTCCGCTCTATAACTCGACCCCTAATTGACCTAGCGCTACCAAACTTGGTATACTTACACATCTTGGGGAGAAGGTGAGCAGCGTACCAAAACCAGGTCACTGCGACCTTTATTTGACCTTTACCTTGACCTTGATCATATTTCCCTTCCGCTCTCTAACTCGGCCTCTAATTGACCGAGCGCTACCAAACTTGGTATACTTACACATCTTGGGGAGAAGGTGAGCAGCGTATCAAAACCAGGTCACTGCGACCTTTATTTGACCTTTACCTTGACCTTGATCATATTTCCCTTCCGCTCTCTAACTCGGCCGCTAATTGACATAGTGCTACCAAACTTGGTATACTTACACATCTTGGGGAGAAGGTGAGCAGCGTATCAAAACCAGGTCACTGCGACCTTTATTTGACCTTTACCTTGATCATATTTCCCTTCCGCTCTATAACTCGGCCCCTAATTGTCCTAGCGCTACCAAACTTGGTATACTTGCACATCTTGGGGAGAAGGTGTGTCGCGTACCAAAACCAGGTCAGTGCAACCTTTATTTGACATTGACCTTGACCTTCATCATATTTCCCTTCCGCACTATAACTCGGCCCCTAATTGACCTAGCGCGACCAAACTTCGTATACTTACACATCTTGGGGAGAACACGGGGGATACATGTAGTTGGCGACAACTGCCCTTTCTAGTTAAAGCATAGAATTGAGCATTTGAGGCTGCAGATCTTCTGTATAATGTAAATCTCATGTAAGTGACTTCTTTCTTTGATGCACATTTAAAAAACCCATTACAATGGCAGACAAGACGTGCACGGATTGCATTTCACTAGACTCTAACAATGTGCAAAATAGCAATTGACTTGTAGTTGTCATGGTTTATAATCGGTACCTTTTCTATTTCAGTATGGTGCACACTTTAACGCCAGATTTGAGTAAAACATTTGCTTGTAAAGCTCAAGTTATTGTAGAAACGCCAAAGTAAGTTTAGTTCACTATTTGGAGAATCACAGATTTGGTTCCTAATAATAATGTAAATGTAAATATTGCACTCTGGTTAGCCTATTTATGCGTAGTCAAGCTAATTTGCTCATATAGCCATTAGCAGACAGCAACAAAATGGATTTTGCATTTGCATATTAAATATGCAATGTTAGAACCACCATTTTACACATTTTACCTTCAGTTTACATATTGATAGATGTATATATATATATATATATATATGCATGCATTTATGACTTAAATGAATGTTAATGTATAGTTCTCCCCTAAAGGTTCTTGATAGATGTTACTACTGACCAAGCACAAGAATACATGAACAAAGTGGTAGCAATGACTGAAAAAGCAGGCTGTGAGGTATGAAAGATTCATGATTATAATGTTGTGATGACCATATTAACTATAATTGAGTTATTTATATATATATATATATATATGCTAACGAATAGCGATCAACACATTTGGTAACAGAGATGTCACTTTATTTATAGCTTCAGACACTGCAAGAAGAGATTGTCAAATGTTTTTACTTGGCACTTTCAGATGTTGACATCCTGCAATCCTAGCTATGATGCCTTGGCATACTTTAGATATTCCGCATCATAAACAAACACTTGGATGGAGAATTTTCGAAGAACCCAAAGGATCAGGATGAACCATGATGACATCAGAAGTGAATAAAAGATGTCCGCAGCTACTGTGGAATGAGTGGATATATTGGCTGACTTTTGGTAAAAGAAAATGCATTACATTGGTCATTTTGAGAGTTGTGCACATCGGTGTTGTCGCTATACTGTTGATCATTGGTCAGTCGTACTAGACATCATGGTGTTGCCTAAACCTTTTCTGCAAGTTCTGATGATCTTGCCAACTTCTTGATTCATGCCTTTGAATATTTCAGTTGTCAAATTTGTGTTTGGGCACAATTTAATATGGTGTGGGGAATTTATTGTCACGACCCTGGTGTTAAGAACTAGAACTGTAGATAAACAGTGCATTTAACACTGTTTAACTCATAAAAATTAGATAAAAATTATCGTTACTATCAACCCCTCAGGAGCCACAGGCATGTTAACTAAAGGAATAGTATTAATGTTGCGAGGAAATTTAGTGTTATATAAAGTAGGTTGGCAATATTTGTTAGGACAAATTGGTGAATAGATACATCTTATCAAGAGCATATAAAGAAGGAGAGCGTACAACAGTAAAATGCTGAAACCATGTTGCAGTATTAGTCGAATTAATAAAGTTTCCCCGTGTTATTTTGACGATTCTTTGCAGTATTATTGATCAGCTTTCCTACCTTGTTCATATAAAACAAACCGCATGTCCCTACGATGCCCCTACGCTGAGATAATGAGCGGTGAAAATCTGGTATTTTCGCCGAACACCGACTAGACATTAGTCAGTTACTGTGACCGTCTCTCGAAGTGTTATAACTTCGGTAAACCTCGCGTGTTTCCGTCAATGATTGACAAATGGAATGAATGACGTCTGTTATTGATTGCCATAGTGATGACCCCCACCTGTGCCCACCTCACGCCCACCTCACGCTGGATGTATAGTAAACTCACTAAACTCTGGTAGTATGACGTGAGTCAGCACCACTATGGCGCTACACAGCGGTGACCGGAAGCAACACACTGGCCACAGTGTGGGCCGTACACTCCGCCCACACGAGAGACGGTCACAGTAACTGACTAATCTAGTCGGTGTTCGGCGAAAATACCAGATTTTCACCGCCCATTATCTCAGTGTAGGGGCATCGTAGGGACATGCGGTTTGTTTTATATGAACAAGGTAGGAAAGCTGATCAATAATACAAAGAATCGTCAAAATAACACGGGGAAAGTTTATTAATTCGACTAATACTGCAACATGGTTTCAGCATTTTACCGTTGTACGCTCTCCTTCTTTATATGCTCTTGATCCTATGCAAATGTTTAACTAGCCAAAACGTACTACTTTCTGTGGTATTTTATATTGTGATCAAATTCTTCTATTATACAACTGAATAACGTTTTTGGATCGAGTATTTTTTGCATGCTTGCACTTTAAAGCGCAAACGTTTGAGCTATTAGTTAGGGCCAGTTTAGCTCTTATATGGAAACATGCAATGCAGACACTTGTCCTGCACTCATAAGTGCTGTTAACCAATGCACTGAGATATTCAATGAAATAATATTAATTCGTTATTAGTATTTATCATGGTATTAAACATGACACAAAGAATTTTATTCAATGCTTACCGTTACGCATAGAGATTCTCAAGTGTATATTCAGACTAAAGCTTTAACATTATAATCCTAAGACTCGTCTGAATTGGTTTTTTATTCGAAAATTCTTTTAGCCTACTAATTTTCAGACACAGTTCATAGCAACAATAAATAGTGGGGTATTCAAAGAAACCTTTACGAAGTTTCTGCATGTATAAAACAACATAAAAAATGTTTATCCACATGCAAATATGTATGCAAATAATTAGGCATATAAAATACAATTTCACACTACCATACAATCGATTAAGCTCCTATAAACGTTTGTGTATTACAGATTTGGACGTTTGAATACACGTGATAGACACATATAGATACATGTAATATTTTGTGATAGATACGTGTAGATCACAAAATAGATACATGTAGACATTTTGTCTCAGAGCCACGTTGGGCTACAATAACATTCAATGCCACAGACAGGGCCGCATTATTGGGAAAAATAAAAAAAGCATATTAAATGCAGTGGTGAGATAAATAATAGAACAAAATTATCCCTCAACCCCAATCCTATCTCATGTTTTCACTATTTCTTGAAACTGGAAAATGGTATTGTATGGGGGTTGTCATCGATGGTAGTGATGCCGATTTTGTCAACTTATACGTAGGGCTCCCCTCCCAGGCGCCCGTCACCCCTACGCAGTCCGAAACATACTCCACACACTGGATTTACTATGAGAGAAAATCGGGACTTAGACTTCCATGACGACTTATGCGAATTGACGAGTTAGACGATGACGACTTATGCGAGTTTTACTGTATATATTACGAAATACATAAGCGCAACCCGCAGAGTTGACCAAGAAAAGATTGACCGACGCCCATCAGGCGTTGAATCAGACTTCTCCAGCCTTCTTCAAGCCCAACCCTGGGTCTTTTTCATCACCTCAAGAGAATTCGCTCTCTCTCTCTCTCTCTCTCTCTCTCTCTCTCTCCGTCTCTCTGACCCGTGCATGGGCTCCCCTTCGCTCTCGCCCAATCGGAGATGCTCTACCCTAATTACCAGTGACCTTGGGCTTCGGCATGTTGATTGTGCAAATGCCCTGGTCCTCATCGCTCATTAGCCAGTTAGCTGCTACCATTTGCGACAGGCTTTGCATGCCTCGTTTAAATGCCGTCCTTTACAAACAGCCTTCACATCTGTGCTATGCTCAGTGTCACGCTTATTCAGTGACGATCAAGTCCTAAATTATTCACCGATTGCAAAACCAATGCAACATGGTACATCATGTGTTTCTAACCACGTACTACCCCACCTAGAAATGCTAATTAACTGTTTCATTGGGTTTCATTATTAAGTATCAGGGGCGTGTACAGGATTTGTACCAGGAATTGTCTAACCGTAACCCAAACTTGCGAGCACCATAGGTGCTCGCGGCGAAAGGGGGGAGGTCTGGGGGGCCCTTCCACCAGAAATCTTTTGAAATTAGACCCCCTCGGATGCGTTTTCCTCGCATCTGACACCACAATAACTTCATCTTGATATGTGCATCAATGGCATTTTTGTCTGGTGCATTAACATCTTAGACAATTTTATTATTTTAAAATAAAATAAAACGTTTAATAAAAGAAAAATTCAAACGTCAACATGACCTATTCATAAAAATTAGAAAAAATTCTGCGTGGCCTCTTGAGAATAAACCGTTTTACAATGTCTTCAACGTTGATGTTTACTCTTCTGTATGTATTGAGTAACACTAGGGCACTCATGCATTCCTCTCTCATTAATATTGAGAAAAAATATGGACATTCTGCGTGAGTAGGGCCCCCCCTGGCCCCCCCCCCCCTGTACACGCCCCTGAGTATAACACGTTATGAACATAGCATGATCGGAAGTTGTTGTTTTGAAAATAAATTGCATTATATTGCATTACAATTTACACAGTATACACTTCCTTCATATCTGGTTTTATCAAATTAATTCTTTTATTTTAATGTTACTAGAAACTGTTGGTCACACTATACAGCTTGCGAGTACACTATTATTTAGCAGCATTCACATAAACAGTAGCCAAGTGCATACTGTTGAATAGAATAATTATGTTATCACTCCTGCTACTCCACTTTTTACTAGACTAGAATCAGAGGTCCCAAGTTCGGAAAATCCAAGAAAGGGATCACTTGTGATAATGGTCCATCGCCGTTTTTTCGCGTTGCGCAAAAACAGGAAAAAAGTTGTGGCGGGCTGTGACCACCATTTTTTATAAAGTATACATGTAAAATAAAATGCAAATTCATGTTAATTTATTGTTTCACATTTCGCTAGAATCAAAGTACATCAAAAACCACAGCAAATTTAGTAATTTACTGATGTAAATGTTAAAATATGGCTGAAAAATGTTACGACCGGGACTCTTTACGAGACACCGGAACCAGCATGTCGCACTGGGACGATCTCGGTGAGACCGGGACACTTGGGACGTCTGCTAGAATAACCACTAATAGAATAACTAAAATTATCACTTTTAAACTGTAAACTAATTCTAATCAAGTGATGCATACATTACAACTCATGATTCTAATGCAAAAAAATACGAGCATGTAGCTTTCAGTAATATTTTCAGTTATACCAGGTTCTCAGTTGGCTAGATACTTTTTTTGTATGATATCAATTGGAAATTTATCAAAAACATGATATTAAAACTTAACAATATGCATTTTCTCCTACGTTTCACACTTGAACACTTGAAACATTTAATCAGTGAAATGTTAAAACTTTACCACCGTCATAGCATCTTTCAGCAGATGTACAAACTTGTAAACATCGTGGAATGAGTTGTACAGCACAACTGGACTCACCCGCAGGACATTCGGTTTTCGCTCGTCACACTAGAACAAAATCAAGTGTACCAAATTAAAATGCTTTCTCACAAATACTTCACACAGCATTCCAAACACCACACACAACTATCACGTGTAATGAGCCACATTCATATTGCGAATACGCTTGCTCGGTGACATAGCTTACGGCTACCAAATAGCTGCCCTACAATAATACACGACATATTTGACTGTCACAAATATGTCTACCTAATACCACCCTAACACACATTGTGTCATTAATATGTATATAACCTTACAGTCAAATTCATATTAGTTCAATTTCACTGCTGGTTACTAATAATGAAAGTGTCAATGACACTGTAGCTCACCTTGGGTGTGATAGAAGAGGGAGGGGGATATATAAAGCAAGAGTTTATATGGGAGAACTCCCATTATATAGCATATCTCCCATTATATACTCTTGATAGTGATATATGCATAAGTTTTGATGTGAAAATAAATGTTTCAGATCTGAAAGTCTGAAATCTTGACGAGAGATGGCGCTACGCCTAAATGATCGCCATTTTGGTTTGCGAATATCGCGCAAATAAAAACAATAAAATATTCCAGTCAAATTACTGTAACGAAGAATCTAAAACACAATATTACACGTATATAGGTATGATTGTAGAGTTGTTGACCAGTTAGACGAAATAAACGTAATAGGACGTTGTCATCTCTCCCATAGGAGTAACAACTGTTTTGGGGCTAGCCTTACACATTCACATATACCAAAATTTAACAAAATCGAATGAATTTAGATGGCCATTTTCATTTTTGCCAAAAAGTGGGTGTGGCTCGAAAGTAGGTCGACTGGCATGCTCCAAAATAGGAAGTTCAAATCTCTCCCTTAGGAGTAACAACTGTATTCAATTTGAAACATGTGGGTCAAACGGTTCTTGAGTTATCGTTGACCGTAGGCAGACACTGAAATGCATAGTGAAATTGCAAAAAATCTACCTAATTTGCGTAATTAAAAAAAAATCAAAACCTGTGTGATATGTTTTGGGGCCAGTCCTTATTCATTCACATACCAGAAATGAGCAAAATCCATTGAACCTAAACTGCTTTATGGCCATTTCCATTTTTGCCAAAAAGTGGACGTGGCTCGAATGTAGGTCGACTGGCGTGCTCCAAAATAGGATGTTCAAACCTCTGCCATAGGAGTAACAATTATATGCAATTTGAAACATGTGGGTCAAACGGTTCTTGAGTTATCGTTGACCGTAGCCAAATGTTGACGGATGGACGGATGGACGGAAGGACGGACGGACGACACCCCATGGCAATAGCTCATCTTGACGATGTCAAGGCGAGCTAAAAACCTCAATTAACAATGATCCGAATTGTATACCTAGTTGTTGACAATTTAAATCACAATCGGCGAATGAGGTGTAAAAGAGGTTTCAGCACTGCACATTTTCCCACGCATGCTGGGCTCATCACTTGTCTTAGAACATAAAGTGCACACATTTCTTTGCTAAACTCGTACTTTACTGTCACATGACACAGCATGTAAGATCAGGACTGGATTTCTTTTGGGGAGATTGATTAACAACATTAAGAAGTCTGGTTTGTGAGGTAATTAATGCGCAATGGAACTGAACAAATAATATGAATTTGGCAGTGTATTTATATATACTTCTAAACAATAGTCTGTCTGTTATTCTAGCATTCACCAACAGCGTGGATAGCTGTATTTTTTGTTTAAAATATATACACGTCAGGAGGATAGTGCATCACTGTCGGAGGTGAAAACGTTTTGTACCAACTTGCAAAGGTAGCGAAGCAAGAACTGTGAAGTTACTCAATTTGAAATTACGATCGTATGTACATTGTACAGACCGTATGTGTTTGATAGTCAAAAACCCACACAATGCATCGTGCTTTTCAAGATTCAAAATTTGCCCTTTAAATATTGTCATAACCACAATAAATAAATAATTATAATTATCATTCATTGCCCTTCATCGGTTACGTGCAGGAATTGAGTTACCCACCACGACAGCCCGCTTCTCCAGTTCCACCTTCACACTCTGAACAGGAATCGATAGCCAGATGGACAGCTGAGCACCTCGCTGCATTGGGTCGGACGGCGTGAGGATGCGCACGCACGAGTCGCCGTTGGCACGTGGGGGGTAGGGCAGGAGACGCTTCAGCAATAGCTCCAGGTAAGCAGTGAGCAGCAGCGACTTTTCACGTATCGCTTCCATCGACGTCATGCTGAACACCTGGAAGCAGAAGACGAATGCTAACGGTCGCGTGCACTGGGAGGTACCGAAGCTGCTAATGTCACTTTTGATATTGGCGATACGAGTATGAATTCTACCTCGAGATTAGCCACCTTGCAGCAGTCGCTCACTGTCGCAAAGGTGCGGCACATTAGAATCGTGTGACAGTGGAGTCCGTGTAACAAATTACTGCTGCCAGGGTCTATGTCTCCCTGGGTACTGCCGGAACGTACCATGGTACTATCTAATATGCCGGACCGTACCTCGCCTACTCCACTAACAAGTCTAGGGAGTTGCCTACGCCTACTCCCTAACCCTAACGCTAACCATATCAGATAGTTACCAGGGTACGTTCCGGTATACCGGCATAGGCCTGGGAGCTGGGGGGGGGGGCACTATCAGCCAAATTACTGCGTAACATTCGTGTTCCTATACTAGTGTATCTATCTGTTTGTGTTTGTCTGTTGTTCTACATATCAGCTTATCAGTCTGTCTCCCTGTCTGTCTGTCTGTTTAGCTGGGCAATTGTCTCTCTCCCAGCTAATCTATCTCTTCCATAATTGGCATAGATACTAAATAAACAATACTCTAACGTAAAATAGCACTGATAGCTAGTGGTATACTGTAATTAGTTGTATAATAAAGTAGCAAAAACAGCACAAGTACCTGGCTAAATTTTTCCTACATCTGGTGTATACTGTAGTTAGCAGCTACAATATATCAGGAATATAAACATAGGTAATAGAAAACTTCTAGCAAAATTCCTATGAAACAGAATATCTTCTATTATCTACACTCATATATATATATACACATTCAAGAGCAAATAATACCTTTTTATTTAGTAGCTCTTATAATTAGTTCAGGTATTATTTATTATATATAATGAGGAGAGATCGTATGCCAGCTCAGTCAAATATAACATACCTCCAGACTCGCATGCAAACATGCACAAAGCACTCCAGAAGGGTTGCTTACACGAAAACCATCAGGACCCGGAGATGACACCATCTCTGCAGAAAAGAAGTGCCAGCATAGTTAGCAAATGACATTAGTCAACCAGAAAGCGCAGATAAATATTACTGAAAACTACTGTGTGTCTCAGTTGTAAAATTAAAAAATCCTTCTATTGTTATATCTATCACTTTACGAACTTATATATCACATGATGATCATGACGATTTTAATGTCCTTGTAACTACTGAACTCTGTATAGTTTTTCTGGTAATATCTAAATTACTGTAAATTGAGAAGCACCTGGTTGAAATGCAAGCGTACTACCATGTTTTGCCGATAGCATAATGCATTACATGGGACAATACACCCATACCACAACACACAACCACAATACCACCACTCCACACAACTATAGCTGAAGGGGTCGTTGTCGTATCAGGCACTACATATATGTACCCGATGTACATATATGTATACACAAAGTGTACCAGACTTGTACTACAGAAGTGTACCCTAAACCTAAACCTAAACATACCTCATAAAAAAATATAAACATAATACTAAACAACCTAAAACTACCTCGGGTACATATATGTAGTACCTGATACGACAACAACCCTTTCAGCACAACTATACCTCACAATTAAAACAACAACACAATAAATTGGGTATATAACCATTATAACACAATGATATTAAAATACTAGTTGAACATATTCCAAATTCAACTGAATTTTAACTTATCCCAATTTTCAGAAACCTTTGTATGCAAAGACTCGCACACAATTGGTTACAGGAGCTAATGCCACACCTAGCTATTATTATGCACAAGTGTCTAACACATTACCCTCCCATTCTAATGACTTACAGTATAACACTGACCACAGTCGGATACAAGTATGCCCAAAAATCTGTAAAGCGATAAACATATTGTGTTTGCGGTAACCTTAAAATGGATAAACCTCGCAACAATAAGCCTATATAGACCTACTGTGAGCATACTTGCAGTGTGTAAACATCACGAAATGTTGTCATTAAGCCAGAGAAGTGCTACAACTATTGGGATTTTCAAAATTACGTACGATGTTGTTATGTCACACAGCTAGCAGTAGCACTCATAGGGTCTATGTCCCCCAGGGTACTATCGGAGGGTACCCTGGGTATGGTTCGATATATTGGAACGTACCCTGGTAACTATCTGATATAGTTAGGGTTAGGGTTAGGGTTAAGGAGTAGGCGATTCCCTAGACTCGTTAGTAGAGTAGGCGAGGTACGGTCCAGCATATTAGATAGTACCAGGGTATGTTCCGATATATCGAACTGTACCCAGGGTACCCTCCAATAGTAACCTGGGGGACATAGACACTCTCAGCAGCAGTAGCCCTACGCTAGCGCAAATAGTTCCTGGAACGAAAACACTATATTTGTTTCCTAATTGCATAAGTAATATAGATAACAATATGATTTAAACAAATTTCACAATTTTGTACTGAATAAACACATAATAATGAATTATAACTTGTTTTATCATAGAAAAGAACTGTTAACGATCGCTCCGCTGTGTCTTGATGTGTAAACATCACTGTGGTGTTACTTTCGTAAAATAAGTAATTTCGTTTAGATTTTGAGAAGAAATGTTATGAAAGTAGCAATACAAATGAGTTCTAGTGAATTTTTGCATTATAGACGAGCTCACAGTAGGTCTATATATGCATTTAGCTGCGAGGTTAAGCAATCTTAAATGATGACATAGTCACATTAGAGAGGTTCCAAGTGTCTAATGCAAGTACGATGAAAAGAAGGCACACAAAATCAAATGATGAGGCTAATCAAATAGGAGCTATTTACGTTCATACTTTTGTCCATGTAAAAACGAGATAATATGTTCAGATAAATACTGCTGGCAATGTTAACGCGACTTCATCTACGTACTGTTGTCCATGTTAAAGCGAGTTGCATGTTCGTGGCCCCACCAGCCGGTTAGCGTTGGCTTGACAGCGTGATGATGCTTCTCGTGAATAAACACGCCTGCTATACAGCCTGCGCCACTGTTCAGATACTGCAAGAATCACACAGAATATTACTACTTCACGAACAACTGAGAATTAGGCTATAATACTTGTACAGTCAAAGCTGCATATGAAGGTCACTCAACTGAAAGACTGCATATTCTTTATAGAGAGGCGTCCGTTCTATAGAACGGGCTTCACTCTACGACTGTGAGTGGAAACGCCAAGTGTCTTTTATAGACAGTTACCCATTCTATAGAGGATGGATGAGAGAGGGAGGTGACCAGTACCACAGGTTTGATAGCACAATGCCCTAATGATGCCACAGATGGTAATAGATGATTGTTTTGGTGTGTAAACGTACTATGTTACATAACTAGCTCTAAAATGTGAGACTTAGTAGAGAATATTGCTCTACTATAGTTAGTTTACCAACTTACCTGATGCTCTCATTGATGACATATTTAAGCAATGTTTTTAACAATTTCATTTTGTCAATTAAACATCAATGGCAAAAAAACGTTTCCACTAAACACTTCACAACTGAAAGAGGTCATGAGTCATACACAATGAACAATATCAATAATATCAGAGATATCAGAAATGTCAATGCATATCACACTTGACAGTTTTTTTTTCATTTTTGCAAATACGATTAATTTACATAACATGTGATACTCACTTTATAAGTGCACCACGATGCAAAGTCTACTCCCCAGTCATGTAGATGCAATGGTACATTACCTACAGCATGTGCCAAATCAAATGCAACAATGCAACCCTAAAAATATTAATAAAATGCTGTACATTTACACCATTGTGCCCGATTGCATACAACCTTAACTATTATTGCATGGAGCACTTGAAACCACTATTAAATGAAAACCAAACAATGAAAGGAACGTGTACTTCGGCACAAACCCGATTGCCAATATATTCATCTCATCTCGCGCTCAAACTAGCCCCTGTCCCAAACGTGAAACTCGAAATTCCCAAGACCCATTCAGAAATCAATTAGCCATTGACTTTAAAATCAACAGGGTCTTCACATGTGCCTTGTGTCAAGTGCACACAAACATGTTTACGTACAGAATCCCCACTACTCATAATCGAGATGTCAGTACACCCTTATAATGGCTGAGAGGGTCTATGTCCCCCAGGGTACTGCCGGAACGTAACCTGGGTACGGTCCAGTATACCGGAACGTACCCTGGTACCAGAGCATATAAATCAACATGATTTATATGCTCTGCTGGTACTATCTAATATGCCGAACCGTACCTCCGCCTACTCTACTAACGAGTCTAGGGAGTCGCCTACGCCTACTCCCTAACCCTAACCCTAACCATATCAGATAGTTACCAGGGACGTTCCGGTATACTGGACCGTACCAGGGGTACGTTCCGGCCAGCTACCCTGGGGGACAATAGGACATAATAGACCTATGAGCCTTAAAATGCCACACCTTTTTTTGCCAGCTTTCGTGATACTTTCCATGTCAAATAACTGCCAGTGTAATATTGACGCCACTAAAACATTATGATGGCTACACTGTCACCTTCTTCATTTATCCTGTCCAAGATGTCTTTGTATGAGCATGCGTCTCACCCTGCATAATTCACAACCGGCTTATTTTGTCTTATCACGCATGTATTAAATGACGATTCTCAAAGACAAAGACCCTATATAGAATAATATAGAACAAATCCTAATATCTGTATATATACATTAGCATTATCACATACAAGTCACTGTGCACTTGAGTGCAAACAGAACAAACGTATTATTCTATGTAAAATAGTAATACCATACATTATAATATAGCAAATGAATGCAAACATTACCTAGTCACACATGCATGTAAGGTTCATACAATAGAAACACGACAGTATCCTTATATATATTGGTGCCTTGTTCTATAGAGACAGTTTCACTGCATAACTGGCACTCAAGAAAACGCCAAATTGACCTTTCTATGCCTTCAAGCACGTATTCCTAGACGGTAACCGATAAACGTTTTATTGTACGAGAGAGGAACAAGACTTATATTTACCTCTCGTGGCTTAATGCCAAATCATGGCTCTTCAGATGTATTTAGCCACGGTGATTGCAGCTGAGACTCAATTATGTACTGCTAAAATATTTTACACAATTATTTTATGTATGATATAATATTCTATATTAGATTCGATACGCTTTAATCAAGAGCATATAAAGAAGCGAGAGCGTACAACGGTAAAATGCTAAAAAACATGTTGCCAGTATTAGTCGAATTAATAAAACTTTCCCCGTTTTATTTGACAATTATTTGCAGTATTATTGATCAGTTCCTACCTTGTTCATATAACAAAAACCGCATGTCCCTACGATGCCCCTACGCTGGAATAATGAGCAGTGAAATCTGGTATTTTCGCGAAAACCGACTCGAGAACAGTCAGTTACTGCGACCGTCTCTCGAAGTGTTATAACTCGGTAAACCTCGCGTGTCCGTCAATGATGACAAAATGGAATGCAATGACGTTTGTTATTGATTGCCATAGTGATGACCCCCACCTGTGCCCACTCACGCCCACCTCACGCTGGATGTATAGTAAACTCTGTAGTATGACGTGAGTCAGCGCCACTATGGCGCTACACAGCGGCGACCGGAAGCAACACACTGCCACAGTGTGGGCCGTAGACCACACGAGCGCGTCACAGTAACTGACTAATCTAGTCGGTGTTCCGCGAAAATACCAGATTTTCGCCGCTCATTACTTCAGCGATAGGGCATCGTAGGGACATGCGGTTGTGTTATACGAACGAAGTAGCGGACAGCTGATCAATAATACTGCAAAGAATCGTCAAAATAACATGGGGAAAGTTTATTAATTCGACTAATACTGCAACATGGTTTCAGCATTTTACCGTTGTACGCTCTCCTTCTTTATATGCTCTTGATTATATGAAAATGATAAAATATATAAATACGATAAATATTACATTATATTATATTTACAAATATAATTCAGTGTCGCTGTTCACACTCAATCATTCCTTTTGTGTACAGACTGGTCATGTTAAATGTGTTAAATCAAACAGATCTACCAGACTGCTATATCTGTGACTGCATATGATTTTTGGACAACTGATAATTTTACACCATATTCACATGTGTGTGCGTGCGTGCGTGTGTGTACCTGTATATAGGTGTGGGGTGTGCGTGAATTTGCATCCACTGGCACACGCACACGTGCACCCAAACGCGTACCACCTATGTACAGGTACGAAGGTACAGAACGAAATACAGAACGAACCCGTGCAGCTGTGGCGTCAGTTGTACATTTGAGAGTTGCTGTTAATATATGCAGTTAACCACATCGTCACGAACACCATAATTTATGTCGCCCTGTCCAGGTATTCTTCAGATACCAATCGGATGCTCAATACTGTACTTAATAAACAGTATTCATGATAACTTGGCGCAATTTCATAACAGTGCTGTATATCCAGAAGCTTTTACTACACAGAATCATAGAATCGTTAGAACCGTTTTTGTCTGAATATTGTTTATTGTTTGTTTCTCTGTTACGAATCTATCCTTACAATCAAGTAAATATATGCGGCTGAATTTGCTCTAAAAGTTGTTTCTACGTGTTTTTCCCCCGAGCAACGCCGGATACCCGGCTAGTATATATATACATCATGGGACAAAATTATAAAGGGGCCGCAGGCCCGATGCCCGTATTTTAAGGCTCGGGCCTGACATTTCTAATATTAGCAAGCCCGATGGGCCCATAGAAAATCCACCCCAGCATGCAAAACCGTCCCCGGCACGCCAGCGAGGATGAAAAGTTACCGCAGTATCGCTCACTTGTGTCAATTTTGTGTCCAGGCCTGTAATTTGCCTGGCGGGCCTGTAAAATCCCTTACCTACAGGCCCGGCTGGCCTGTAAATTTTCAAACTAATTTCTACCCGATACATACATATACATGACACCCCCTGCCCACCACACACATTGTCATTTTGGGACATAAGTGGAAATCTCATAATAATTAATCTACTGCCATATACCATGTGGTGTGTTGCCCTTGAGACTTTCACTTGCCCGTAGAACTACTTCAGTACGAACATATGCTGGCAGACCTGCCACAATCACTCTCTCCAATTCACTTGCCCCAGGCAACTGGCCATCTGTACACATTTCCATCGTTCATGTTAACGTAATGTTCATGCCTATGTCATATACAGTACTTCTGACAGTTAAACACTTACGTGATCTGATGGAAATGCTTGCGACTCCAGCATAATCTTATACCGACTTGACGTTGGTTTGTAAAAAGATAGCTGAAAAATAGATTACCATATTATATTACACAATTGTATGGCCTTCTAGCACTTAAGCCTCGGTCACAACGAGCCCAAGACGCATTTGTGTCACGACACGACAGAAAATTTGGGCAAATCGTAGGTCATTGGGGGTTGTCGCAAGACAGTCCTACGAAATTTTGAGCATACTGGCATCGACTTGCCGTCGTGAGGCAAAATTGAACATGCACCTTTTTTGTTCCACGATTTTTTGTGGTATCTATGTCTTCTGGTTGTCGTGAGTCTGTCCTACGACAGTCTTGCGACTGTGGTGCGATAATACGTCGTTATATAGTCGGGAGACGAACGCGCTCACGCGTCCCACGACTGTTGTGCGACAGTCGCACAACTGTAGCACGCGCATTCCACGAGTGAACCACGACCTGTTCACGTAAAAAACAGCCCCCCCCCCGACAATGCCCGACAACTCACGACTGTCGCACGACTAACTTGCGACACACCCACGACATATCTTTTTTTCTGTTGCGTCCCCATCGCCAAACCATCTTTAATGTGTCGTGGCCCTTGTGACCACTCGAAATACATTTCGGGCATGTTGCAAGATCTGGCCACGACAAATATTTTATGGGTCTACCACGACAAAATTTCGTACGATCTGTTGTGACCCGGACTTTAATGCATGTAACATGGTTTTGAAATGGCTGAGCATATAACAAAAGGTTTAATATCTCATTGTATTCTATAAACTGACATCAAAAATTCGGTATCAGGACAAATACCCCCCGGACAATTACCCCCCATGCCATTTACCCCCCGGACAATCACCCCCCGGACATTTACCCCCCGGACAATCACCACCCCCCCACGGACATTTACCCCAGGACAATTACCCCCCGGACATTTACCCCCGGACAATTACCCCGACATTTACCCCCGGA